CCAGGAATCTACAAGAGTGACCCTAGCTAAGACTTCTAGTGATGTGGGATACAGAGCCTGAACCAGCCATCTCCTGTAGCCAGGCAAGACTTCCAATGGAGGGACTGGGACACCAATCCAGCCACAAAACCTTTGACCTACAATTTGTTCTCTCTGCAAGATGTGCTGGCCAACTAATGACTGGTCCACCTTGAGACCCATGCCACAAGAGGGAGCCCATGCCTGACACTGCCTGGAGGGCCAGGAGCCAGAGTTTGATAGCCCAGAGACCTAGGATAGAACCAAACATGACTAGCAAAAAAAGAAAAAAAAAGTCAACAAAATGATTCCTAGTGATATTCTGCTATACTCATAGGTTGGTGAGAGGCTTCACTCAGCAACTGATGGAAACAGATGCAGAGACCCACAGTCAAATTAGGTGGAACTCAGAGAATCCTGAAGAAGAGGAGGAGAAAGGATTGTAGGAGCCAGAGGGGTCAAAGATGCTAAGAAAACGGCCCACAGAATCAACTAACCAGGGCTCATAGGGACTCACAGAGATTGAAGTGACCATCAGGGAGCCTGCATGATCTGACCTAGGCCCTTGGCATATATGTTATGGTTGCGTAGCTTGGTGTTCCTGTGGGGCTCCTAACAGTGGGGGTGTGGTGATATTGTGTTCCCCAAAATATCGTGTACCTTAATAAACTTATCTGGGGTCAGAAAACAGAAAAGCCACTAGTTAGGCAGTGATAGCACACACCTTTAATCCTAGCATTCCAGAGATAGAAATCCCTCTGGATCTCTGTGAGTTCAAGGCCACATTGGAAAAAGCCAAGCATGGTGACACACGCCTTTAATCCCAGGAAGCAAGCCTTTAATCCCAGAGAGCGGTGGTAGAAAACAGAAAGATATATAAGGCGTGAGGACCAGAAACTAGCAGCATTTGGCTGGTTAAGCATGTGGCTGGTTAAGCTTCAGGCTTTTCAGCAGCAGTTCAGCTGAGATTCATTCTAGATGAGGACACAGAAGCTTCCAGTCTGAGGAAACAAGACCAGCTGAGGAACTGGCAAGGTGAGATAGCTGTGGCTTGTTCTGTCTCTCTGATCTACCAGCATTGACCCCAATAACTGGCCTCGGGTTTGATTTTATTAATAAGAACTTTTAAGATTCCTGCTACAGTGGGGGCTGTCTCTGCCTCTTTTGCCAGCTTTTGAGACCCTTTTTCTCCTACTGGGTTGCCTCATCCAGCCTTAATATGAGGGGATGTGCAAGTCTCATTGTAACTTAATATACCATGTTTGTTTGGTATCCCTGGGAGGCCTGCCCTTTTCTAAAGTGAAAGGGAAGAGGAGTGAATCTGGGGAGAGAGGGGGGTGGGGGGAGGGATTGGGAGAAGAGGAGGGAGGGGAAATTGCAGTCTGGGTGTAATAAATGAGAGAATTTAAAAAAAAAAGAAGTGGGCTGTTAGACAGTGTTGTGTTTGGATGTGAAATGTCTCTACAAGCTCATGTGTCTGAACACTTGGTCCCAGTTGGTGACATTGCTTTGGAAGGCTGTGGAACCTTTAGGAGGCAGAGCCTTGCTGGAAACTGTAAGTCACTGGGGGTGGGCCTTGAGGCTTTACAGCCTGGTCCCACTTCCAGTCTATTCTCTGTTCCTTTGGGTTGGTATGTGTGTATGTGTGTGTGTGTGTGCATGTGTTCCTGTGTGTCAGTGCCAACATGCTATGGTGTGGAGGTCAGAGAACAAAGTTGGCCATTGGTGGCAGGCTCTCCTGCTGTCTAACACTGCATACACCATGTGAGTGGGCCCACATGCTTCTGGCTAGTCTTCTTTTTGTCCAAATCATCTTCTGGTAAGGGCATGCCTGGATTACTCACACATTCATTAGTGTGTCCAATTTTTAAGTGAGTTATGGGGATCCAAACTCAGGGCATCAGGCTTGCAGATCAAATGCTTTCCTCACTAAGCCATTCTCAAGTCCTGTTCCCCACTTTTGGACTGTGGAGACAGTGTAACTATCTACCTTACACTCCTATTCCACACCTTCCCTGCCGTGATGGACCGGATCCCCTCAAACTGTAAGCTCAAATAAACTATGTCCCTAAAATTGCTTCTTCTTGAATATTCAGTCACAGCAATGAAAAACAGTCACTACTACAAACAGGTGGCTTCTAAGCAGCTAATGTTGCTCATAGTTCTGGAAGCTGGGAAGAGCAGATGAAGGCATTGATAGATTTGGTGTCTGATGAAGGCCTGCCACCTTGTTCATAGAAGGCTTTGTTTGTGTCTCATCCAGAGGAAGCATGAGTTGGCTCTTTGTGGTCTCTTTAGTAAGGACACCAAACCCAATCATAAGGGTTTCAACCTCATTACTTGGTACCCACAAAGGTCCATTTCTCCACACCTTCAGTGGTTAGGATTTTAGCATATGCCTTTTGGAGAGATACAAGCACTCAGATTCTGACAGAATGGTTTATGAGGAACAAGGTGATTCTCATCTGTTGGGAGCAAATAGAGACCATCTGCTCACTCCATGATCTGTTGCCAGAGAGGGAAAGCCCAGACCTCTGCACTCCAGGACCATGAACAGGTCTTGAAACAGCATTGGCTCATCCCATCTGTGGAATGGGCTCAACTTCAGCGGAAGGTCAGTGCTCACGGAGCTCCCAGCAGCATGAGCTTTGCATATGCAGCAGGAACAAATGGGAGGGTGTAGGGAAAGAGGGGGACGAATGTGCTTCTGTCATTAATCCACTAATCGTTAATTATCCCCCTAGACATCATATAATGTGCTACCCAGGCAAAAATAAAATTGCTTGAACTTTCCCACCAAGTTCTGGTTTTAAACAAATTACTCGCGTCAAAACTATTTACCAAAGTGAGTAATTTTAGACATTCATCAGACTTCATAACATTCCTTAATTAGCACCCGCTAATAAAGTCCTCGTGTAATTAAGCACACATGCATCCTTGTTGTTTCTTTATTTTACATTTTTGCTCATGATAATTTATTTTGAAACAACTTGATATGCAGTTTCCAGAACCCATGCATGGACACGGAGGTGTGTGCCTTTGTGTGCCTGTTGCCAATGTCACTCTGTAGTGAGACATCATGCAATTAAAGCAGCAACTTAATTATTAATATCACAATTAAGGAAAGGAAGAAGAGGTTTTTCTCCCCCAAAGTGGAAAGTTGACCCCTGGCTCCAAGGGCAAGGGGAACAGGTGCACACTAGTGCTCTCGTCCTCTGGGTCCCAGGAGGGCAGATCAGGCAGTGTGACTTGTGCCTAAATACCCTTAGGGAGTAAGCAGGTCTTAGAAGGAGGCAGCTGGCTTCCCTGACATGCTGTTCCTCCTGAGAGGCTCCAGAGTGATAGTGGCGGCAATGACAGCTCCCTCGTACCTCAGAAACCTGCCACTGGAAGATCAGCATTTTAACTATCCCCTGCCCCTCAAGAAAAAAAAAATAGAAGGACACCTTAATTTACCCTCCTGATTGGCTTGATAGCCGTCAGAGTGACAGCCTGTCTTCAGCAGAAAGAGACCTGGCATTAGATTCCCAGGCTGGTATTGTATGCTCTATGCTGTCTCTTTGCTCCCAGATTTAAAGTAGCTCTACTGTACCCCAAACCCTGCTGTCCCCACCTCTTACCTCCCTAATCACTGACCACATGATCAGGGTACCTCAGGGCTAGACCAGCCATATTTCTATCTTAAAGCTGGTGTCCCTGGTATTTCTTTCCACATTCTTAGTGTGGCCAATGGATGTCTCAGGACACAGACAGATCATCAGCACAGGAGAATTAAACTAGGTTAGTCCTTGTCCTATGTGTTTAACAAGAGCTATCAATGGCT